GTGAGCGTGGAAAGGCGCGGTTCCTTCTCCCTTCCTCGGGGAAGCCCCGTCGGAGGGAAGCGGGAGGGAGGGCGGCTCCCGTGGCCGGTCCTGGCTGCCCCCCCCCCCCCCGCCCCGCCCCCCCCCCCCGCGCCCCCCCCCCCCCCCGGCATAGGTCTCGAAGGGGTCCTCAAAGGCCATCCATCCCACTCTCGGCTGCCCCGTCCCCTCGCAGACCCCGCTCAGGAGCTTCTCCCTTTTCCCCCGTGGGGGGGGTGGGGTGTAGGAGGGGGCTTCCCTTGTAGCTGACTCCCCATTTCCCAGAATCCCCTCGGTCGTCTCCACTCTTTTCCTGGGAATTATTGAGAGCAACAGAGTGGGAAGGGGCCTTGGGGGTCATCTAGTCCAACCCCCTGCTCACGCAGGACACCTGTACTAGGGACTCGAACCGCCGACCTTTCTGATCGCCAAGCTCAGCATTTTAGCCATCTGGTCAGCTGGAGTTTGGCAGCAGCTGCGGTCCAGGTGGAACCTGTAGCTTTATATACAGCAGGCCAGCTATAGGTAGTCCTCGACTTACAACAGGTCGCTTGGTGGCCGTTCAAAGTTACAACGGCCCTGAAAAGAAGAGACTTATGGCCATTTTTCACACTTGGCCAACCGTCCCGTTGCCCCCCCTGTGGTTGCATGGGATTAAGATTCTCAGTAACCGGTTCACATTTATGACTGTTGCTGCGTCCCGACGTCCCACGGTTCCCTTTTGGCCACCTTCTGACCGGATTCACTTAACGACCATGTTACTCATTTAACAAACGCAAGGATTTGATTAACAACCGTGAGAAGAAGAATTGTAAAGTGGGGCAAAACTCACTTAACAAAATGTTTCGCTTAACCACAGAAATTTTGGGCTCGGTTGTGGCCGTAACTTGAGGACTACCTGTAGGTTCAGGAACATCACGGGCATAGAAAGAAGCCGCAGGGGAGGAAGGGAACCTCCCCCTTTAACACCCGCAGCAGCCAATCGTGGGGTGGATCAGGGTCCCCAACCCCTCCCCCCAGGGGGGGCCACAGGAAAGCTCCTCTCTGTGGAGTCGGTCCCTGGGGCCCAAAGGGCGGGGGAGGGGGCCACTCGGGCACAGGTTGCCTCCAGCGCACGGCAGCCCTCGCCCACCAAGCGACTGGCGCACTCACGTCTGTTGTGCCTCTCCTGCCCTTCCAGCCCCTCAGTTGGGCGTCCTCGGGGGTCTCTTCTATGGCCAGAATTACACTCCCCCCCCCCCATCTCCCCCTCTTGGCCAGACCGGTCCGCCTCCACCTTCCTGCCTCCTCTTCCGAATTTCTCCCCATGGATTTTGACCCCTGCCACACACACTACACACACACACACACACACACACACACACACACACAGACACACACAGCCCCTGTCCTTTTCTAGAAGGGGCCGGAAGGCTTCTTGGCCCATTAACTTCGGCCAGGGACTCGCACGGCGATTGTCCGAACTAAGTCGGAGACGCTGACGGGATGTTGTCTTGCATAAATCCATCTATTCTGACATTTCCATCGTGAGGTAAATCTGGGGGCATTCGGAGCGCACAAAAGAAAAAGGCGGGAAAATTAGAAACGCCCCCTTTGCACCTATAGCAACCAATCACAGCGCAGATTGCCTCATGCAAGGGCCAGCACTCCCCAACCAATCAACGATAACTCTGCGTTCGGGCGTGTCGTACCCTCTACACTGTGCCCAGCTACTCAATGTCGTATCCTGGCAAACTGGGCCCCCGTGAAGGCTTCTCTTACCCCGGGCCTTATGGACTACGGGGCCCGTCCCGGGGTGGGGGAGGAGGGGGAAGAATGTCACCCCGAGGCCGGCCCGGGCCTCCCTTGAGCAATGCCTCTCCTGCCCCTTTCCCCCTGCAGTTCGTGGCCTTCTGCTCCAAGCACACCGAGGACCACCCCGAGGTCATCTCCTACCTGTCCGGCCGCCACCAGAAGACCAGTCCGGAGTACCTGGCCTCGGTGGAGTTCCACAACGTCCTGAGCCGCTGCCTGACGCGGGTGCAAGCCAGGAGAAACAAAGTCTACGTTTACATTAACGAACTCTGCACCACTTTCCGTGCCCATTCGCAGAGGAAAAGGGCTGTGGCCCCCGGCCCCACAGACGCCCAGGATGCCCCGGCTGCCCCTGCCCCCCAGACGCCCTCCGAGCCCGCCAAGCCCTGCGTGGGCAACAAGCGGCAGATCCGCTACCTGGAGAACCTGCTGCGGGTTTACGCCACCGAGATCCAACGGCTGCAGGAGCAGGAGCTGGACTTGGAGGAGCTGGATAACCAGGATTCGGCCTACCTGCAGGAAAGCCGGCTCAAGCGCCGGCTGATGCACGTCTTCAAGCGCCTCTGCCAGCTGAAGGACTGCAACAGCCTGACCGGCCGCGTCATAGAGCAGCGCATCCCCTACCGCGGGACCCGCTACCCAGAGGTCAACCGGCGCATCGAGCGGCTGATCAACCAGCCGGAGGCCTTCCCGGACTTTGCCGACATCCTCAAGGTGGTGCAAAAGGCCAACGACCGTCACAACCTGGGGCTGCCCAAGCGCCAGATGGAGGTCATGGCACGCGACGCCTTCCGTGACGTGGGCGCCCGGCTGCAAGAGCGGCGACGCCTCGACCTGGTGTACAACTTTGGCAGCCATCTCACCGATCAGTATCGGCCTAGTGAGTGCCTGTCCGGGGCCCGAGGGGACTCTGCGGCCCCTGCTTCCACCTGGGGCAGGTGCTGGCTTGGAATAACCCCACGGTCACCCCCCCAAATGCAACCCAAGAAGTCCTGCTTTGGTGCCAATCTCCCTTAGGGCGGTCCTGGGGGCCACCGGCTGGGGGCGCAAGGGAGGCACCCGGCCCTTCTTATTGTTCCTAGTTTCTTTGGCTGTCTGGAAGGGGGGGAGGGGGGGAAGGCGGGTCCTGCCTAAACCTGTTTTTGGGCTTGCCTGCCCAGCCAAAACAAGCCCTGCGCCCGAGGCCTGGATGGGCAGCTCAGATTCCTTCGGGTGAAGTCAAGCCAGGCAGCCCCCCCCCCCAAGACCCCTGCCCCACAGAGCTTGGGGTTAGGGTTAGGGTTAACCCCCACCCCCTCGTCCCTCTCTCAGAACTGCCCCATCTTGTCCCTGGGGGGGGTGGGGGAGGCATATCTTTCAGTGCCCGTGTTTTTACGCTGCTGCCTTCCCTGCTCACGGCTGCCGTGCTGGACGGATTCTTGAACCGAGGAGTCGGCTGGAGAAGGGAGGCTCCGGGCAAATATTGCCCCCCAGCAGGAAAGGGAGGGCCGGGGAGGGGGCACGGGGCTCTTTCATCTGGGGGAAAGAATCCCAGGTGGAAAGTTTGAGGGTGTCTAAAATTTGGGGCGGCTGGGCTGAAGCTGGGATGAACATCTGTGGCTGAGGGTTGGGCAGAGAGCGGGCAGGTGAGGGGGGCCCACTCTTCAGCCTTGCCCTCCTGGTGAGGGCAGCTGCAGGCCCCCCTTGCTCCGTGCTGCTTGGGCACAGCCCCTCGGAGGGAAGCGTCTCCAGGGCCCAGTCTTCCTGGGGGGCTTTGGCCCTCCCCCACTTTTCCAAGGGCCTCACCACTGTCCACAGAAGGGGGAGCAGGTTGCTCCAGGCGGAGGGGGGGAGGGCAGACGGATTCCCCTCAGCTCCTGCCCTCCTTCTGCCCGGCAGATACTGACCCAGCCCTGGCGGATGTGGAGTTAGCCCGGCACCTGCAGCGCAACCAGGCGCTGGGTGTGCAGCGCCTGGAGGAGGTGATCGCTCAGTTCGCTCAGCTGCAGGACAAGAGCGAGGAGCAGCAGCAGCAGCAGGGGGGCAGAGGGACCCAGTCCAGCAGAGCCGCGGAGGGGGAGCCGGCCTCCCCGAAGGAGTCCGTCTTGGGCACAGCCGCCAGAGAGGTAAGGGGAGGCCAAGGGACCCCCGTGGGCACCTGGAGGTGGGGGCATCCAGAGGGCCAGGCAGCTCAGTGGGGGGGGGTTGTGGGGTGGGTGGGGGGTCCCAGCCTCCTGCCTTTGAGCGGTGGGCAAAGCTCGCCAGAGGGCTGACCGCCCGCCGGGCTTCCCGTCTCTGAAGTTCTGCCAGGGCATGGGGGTTGAATCAGTGGGGAGCCACCGAGCTGAAGGAGGAGAGTTGGGTCCGGCCGAGTATCCCTTGAGCTAGGGGCACAATCACAAAATGGCTGCAAAGGCCAGACCCACTGCAAAGAGGGCAGAGAAATGGTAGAGTTATGTGTCAGGCCTGCCCCGGGCAGGTTCCTTTGGAAAGAGAGACCCTCGACTCCCTTGGATGGTCGAAGGGACGTTGGGCTCTTCCCATCTGCTGCAGCAGAGCCAGGCCGGAACTCCCCCCCCCCATGCCAGCCCTCCCCCCACACGACCAGTCCGGCTTCAGCCCATTTCCCATCACATCCCCCGGCAGGGTTCTTGCCCCACAACCCCCTCCCTGGCAGCCTCTGCTCTTCCCGGCTTCCCTGGCCAACTCTTGCGGGGCGGGGGGAGGAGAAGGAGTGTGGTTTCCTCTGGCCACGGGGGGGGGGGGGATGTCCAGGGCCAGTGGGACATCCCACCCACACCCCCGGCCTCTGCACTAGGACAGCGGCGCAGGCCCCAAGGAGAGCAGTAAGACGGGGGCACCGTGGGAAGAAGAGGAGGAGGAAGAAGAGGAGGAGGAGGAGGAGGAAGAAGAAGAGGAAGACTCGGACTCGGAGTCCGACCTAGAGGCCGAGCTGGCCCACTGCCTGGATGGTGGAGAGGAGGAAGAGGAGGAAGAGGAGGAGGCAGCGCCAGGTAGCCTGGGTGGCACAATTCGGCCTNAGAGGACAGGAACGCGATTGGCCGCCTGGCTGGGCGGGACGAGCGCGCCGGCGGCCGCCCATTGGCTCGGCCGCGCTTGTCCCGACGGGAGCTGGTTCGAATCCTTCAGACGTTGCCGGGGCGGGGTGAGCGGCGAGCGGCGTCCTCGGTGCCTCTGAGCGTATGCAGAGTGCGGCGTCGATCGCGCCCGCGCCGGATGCGCCAGTGAAGCCGGAGCCTCGGGCGATGGACCGGACAACTTCCCGAAAGCACCTGGCCGCAAATGCGGCTCCCCCAGACTCCCGGCTGCCCCGGCCGGGCTTGCGGGGAAAGCGCTCCGCGGCGGACGAGAACGCGCCCCCGGATCCCCCGGTGAGGCTCGGGTCCGCGCGGGGGTGGGGTCTCCTGGGGGGAGGCGAGGGGATCTCACGGGGCGCGCGGGCGAGGGGAGGGGGCACATAAGGGAGGGGATGGATCTCACGGGGAGGGGTCTTACGAGAAGGGGAGGGGTCTCGGGGGATGAGAGATCCCAGGGGGAAGGGGAGGGGTCTCGGGGGGAGGGGCCTGAGGGGCACACAGGGGACAGGAGGGGTCTCCCGGGGGAAGGGTCTCCCCAGGGCCCACCTGATAACCCTCTTCTCCCCCGCAGAAACGGGTGCGCACGGGGCCAGCCCCAGGAGCAAAGAGTGGCGCCTGCACAGCGGCAGGTGTGGCCCCTGCTGGAGGGTCCCGGCCCCGAGTGGCTCCCACAGTGCCCCGCGGCCTCCTGCGTGTCTCCGGTGAGCGGCCAGGTCCCTGGGTCCCTCTGCCCTGCCGAGGTGGAAGGGGGTGGCCGCGTCTCTTTCTGAGCGCCACTGAAGGGCTCCTCTCTCTCCCCGTGCAGGACGACGCCGGTCCTCGGCCAGGGCGACCATCGCGGCCCTCCCAGCCGCCTCTTCCACAGGTGGGCATTGGGGGGGGGGGCCAGGGGGGAAGGAAGAATTGAGCCCCCTGGGAGAGTTGGGGGGCTTCAGACTTGCGGCTCCTCTTAATCTCTCCCTCTGCTTGCAGGGCTGAACTGCCGGGCGGCTCTTGGGGCCCCTCCCAAGCCAGGTAAGGCAGCCGTGAGGGAGGCCACCCCCAACCTCTCCCGCCTCTTAAGCTCCTCCCCCCCTTCCTCACCAGGGCTTTTCCTCCACTTCCCCCCAGGACCCCCAGCAGCCCCTGCGGGGGGAACGGGGCGAAGGCGAGCCCCCTGGGACCTGAAGGGGCAGATCAGCGACCTCCAGGCCAAGGTGGGAGGCTACAAGGAGAGGGTCCAGGGCCTGGCGGGGGAGAACGAGTCCCTGAAGAGCCAGCTGGGGGAGCTGCAGCAGGAGCTGACGGACGCCACCAGCCAGAAGGGGGAGCTGGGCGGCCGGGCCAGGTGAGGAGGAGGAGGGGGGAGGCTGAGCCGAGGGCCGCGGGTGGGGGGGGCTCGGGGGCTGGTCTTGACCCCTTCCTCCCATGGCCGCCTGCAGCCGCCTGGCTTCGGAACTGGAGCTCTTGCGAGAGGAGGCCAGGGAGAGCGGCCAGAAAGTGTCGGAGCTGCTGGAGAAGGAAGAGCGGCTGGAAGGAAGGTGCCGGAGCCAAGCCGAGAGGATCGGGCAGCTGGAGGCCCTCAACCGGGAGCTCACGGAGGGCAGCCGGGAACAGTCCATCCGGCTGAAGGCCAGAGAGGTAAGAAGGGGCATCGTCAGGGCCTTCTCGGAGGGTCCTGGCTCACTTCCTGTCCACAGCTTCCCCTTTGGCCTCCACCCAAGCACCAGAACAGCCGTGTGTGTCCGTGTGTGTGTTTGTGTGTGTGTGTCAAAGTCAGGGCAGCTGGAGATTGTGGAGGGGAGGCCTTGGCCCAGCTGTCTCTGCCTCTCGGTGACATAATAAAGATCTCACACACACAGACAGACAGACACACACAGAGCTCTCTGCATCCATAACTGGGGAGGTGTGTGTGGGGTGGGGAATGGGACGTGGGAGCAGAGGCTGCATGTGGGGCTGCCCTTCCCCAAACCGGCTCCCTGTCCTCCTCTTGCCACCCCTGAGCTGCCTTCGGTGGCGGCTGCCTTTCCTGGGCCAAGGAAACCTTGGGGGGGGGGGGAGATATGGGGGGTTTGACCCATTTTTTACACCCGGAAGGCTGTGACTCCCGGACTGGCCAGGACTCCTGTGGCTGCCTCAAGGCATTTGCAACACTGTAAACTGGCCCAGGTTGGCTCGGTGTGTGTGCGTGTGTGTGCGTGTGTGTGTGAAGCTTCTGGGGAAGAGGAGGAGGCTCAAGACCCCCCTCTCCTCCTTGCCGCGCAGGAGGAGCTCCTGCTGTCCGAAGAGAGCCTGGCGGGGCAACGGCAGCTGAACGAGGGGCTGAGGGCCCGGCTGGAGGTGCTGGAGGAGCAGCTGCACCAGGGGGACATGGAGCGACGCTGCTTGCACAACGCACTGCAGGAGCTGAAGGTGGGGACGCGGCCGCCTGTTTGTGTGGGGGGGGGGAGGGAGGAGATGCCCCTGTCCTGAGGGGCTGCCTGACACCCCCCCCTACCCCCTTTGCTCTGGCCTTCCAGGGGAACATCCGTGTCTTCTGCCGAGTGCGGCCCTTGCTGGCCAGCGAGAGGCAGGCCCAGAAGGCCGCCAGCCACCTGCGCTTCCCGGCTGACAACAACAAGGGCCTTGTCCTCTCCAGGGCAGAGGAGGTACGTTCGCCTCCCCTCACACGGACACACAGAGGGGCAGGGGAGAGGCCGGTGGCCCACCTGTGGAGAGGAAGGGGATGGAGGCAGGCGTGCCTTTGAGATGAGCCCAGGGGGAGGAATAAGTAGCTTTGCCGGAAGGTGTGTGTGTGTGTGTGTGTAAATCTCTCACAAAGTGACCCCTTTCTCCCCCCCCCCCAACAGTCCCACGTGGGCCGTGAGCGCAAGGACGACATCAACTATGACTTCACCTTCGACCGGGTGTTTCCTCCCTCCAGTTCCCAGGAGAGCGTCTTTGAGGAGATCTCCCTGCTTGTTCAGGTGGGGGCCGGAGGGTTAGGGAGCACAACACACACACACACACACACACACATCCCTTGCCAGGCATTCACCCTCCTGGGCGCTCTTCTCCTTCTTCCCTGCCAGTCAGCCTTGGACGGGTATCATGTCTGCATTTTCGCCTACGGGCAGACGGGCAGCGGGAAGACGTACACCATGGAGGGCCCGGAGGACCAGAACCCCGAAACGGCAGGCATGATCCCTCGAGCCGTGCAGCAGATCTTCGCAGCCTCCCGCGAGATGGAGGCCAAGGGGTGGAAGGTGAGGCAGGGTGGGAGGGGCAAAGGGGGGTCCGCCCTGAGCTCTGCAGGTCCCTTGTGAACGGCATTCAGACCCTCCCGCCAGCAAAGTCAGAAAGGACGCGGGGTTTTCTGGGCCTGGCCCAGCCCCCATTGCCAGGAACCGGCCTGCCTCCCCTGGGAGGGCTAACTCCTCCCCCCACCCCCACCCCCAGTACCAATTCACAGCCAGCTTCCTGGAGATCTACAATGAGTCGCTGCGGGATCTTCTGGTGCTGCGGCCAGAGCAGAACGGGGAGCTGGAGATCCGCCGCGTGAGCCAGCTGACGGAGGAGCTGCACGTCCCCAACCTTTCCTGCGTCTCGGTCTCTTCCCAGGAGGAGGTAGGGCCCTCCTACCCCCCCNAGGTCTAATCCTGGCATGTGCCTGCTTGGGCAAGAGCCCGTCTCGCCGGCTGAAGCGGGTGGCCCGACCGTCCCGCCGGTCTCCTGCTCTCCGGGCGCCTTCGAACCCCTGTACAGGCAGCTGGGCTGAAGCAGCACCACCGACTGCGCTCGCTTCGGATGTCCATCGGAGCTGAGGCTGATCCGCTACCCAGAAGAACCCGTCTCTCTCCCCCTTCAGCGCCTCGGCCTTTCCCTGGCGTGGAGACCGGACGGGGTGGCGTCTGGGTTGCGCCCGGAGGTGGGAGGAGGCTACTCCTCCACCTGGCACTCTTCATGCACCTGCCGCTTCAGGAGGTGCTCCTGAGCATGGACGAGGCCGGTGGAGGTGGATGGCCTTAGGCGACCCCTGTGAAAGGGTCGTTTGACCCTCCCCACAGGGGTCGCGACCCACAGGTTGAGAACCATTGGTTTAGCCTTAGAGGAAGTGAAACAAGAGTTTAGAGATCAGTTTTTGGGGGGGGGGCTCGGCTGAGAGGGGAGGGGCAGAGCTGGAGTATGTGGGAGGGGGGCTTGGCTGAGCAGCCGGACTCAAGGCCTCTCCTCCTCCTCCTCCTGCGCAGCCGTCCTCTCGGTCTTCACCCGGACGCCCCACCTGGAGTCCCGCCTGGGGCAGGACGTCCTGCTGGACTGTGGCTTCTCGGCTCCGCCCACGGCCTTCTCGGTCGAGTGGCGCCACCAGCACGGCGGAGCCGGACAGGTGATCCTGGCCTACGACGGAGCGACCCAACACATGGCGGTGTCTGAGGAGGGCGCCCGCCTCTTTCTGGACCCCGAGAGCAGCAACGTCTCCCTGCAGCTACAGGGCGCTCAGGTGCGGCACGAGGGCACCTACATCTGCTCCGTCTACCTGCCCCACCTGCAGGCCCAGCAGGCCGTAGAGCTCAAGATCGTGCGTGAGTGTCTCCCCCTTCCCTCTCCCCACGTGCTGCGCGCGAGGGTCTCCCCCGACGTCTCCCTCGTTTCCAGAGTCGCTTGTGGAGCAGCCGAGGGGAATCACCCCCCTGAGGGTGGTGGGCTATTCATACCGGTGGGCTTCTGCCACCTCCCTGGCAGGCCCCATAGAGGGCTGTTGGGGCGCTGCCATTCTGCAGGGAGGGGGGTGGCTTGGGGGGGGCAGGGAAATCTTTCGCGGGCTTCCATTTGCTCCGTTGTACGGGACCTTGAGGGAAGTGGGGAGGGGACGGGGATGCGCTTGGAGCCATCTGCGCTCCCTCAGTGGCGAAACCGGAGCGGCCGGGAGAACGACGGTTACCACCTTCCTCTGCCTGAGGTTCTCCAAACATCTTCGCCCCCTTGGGATGAGCCCCATGTTGGACTGGACACTGAAAGGGGCTTTGCTCGCCGTAGTATTAATTCAGCGTTTCGGACGGGGAAACTTCAGATGGAATCCCTGCCCTTCCGTAAAAGTCCCTCCTGAAGTGTTCGTCGTTTCAGGGGTTCTGCTTTCCTGAGAAGCCTGGGGAGGCAGGACCCCCCCTAACACTTCCCCAAATTCCGCCCGGGGGAAGCGCCGTACCAGGATGGGAGGCCAGAAATGCTCTGGCAGTGCAAAGGTCCCCCCTCTGCCGACGGAGGAGCCCAGTTCTTCCGTGGGTGTTGGCAATCCCTGTGGCCCCACCGAACCAGAGGCTTCCCCAGCCTACCTCACAGGGTTGTTGTATGTTACGCCATGCTTAGAAATCTTCCAGCTGCTCTTTCCGAGTTACTTGGGGTTTCTGAGTTGCTTCTTCCCCCACCCCTCTCTCTGCCCCCAGAGCCGCCTAAGGTCACCCTCCGCCCGGTCCCCCTCCCGGTGCCCCTCAACACCCACACGGACCTCGCCTGCGAGATCGCCGGCTATTACCCCCAGAGCGTCTCCGTGGTCTGGAAGTGGCACACTCCCAGCGCGCCCCACAAGGTCCTCCTGGAAACGTGGGAATCGGGACACCGACAGGCGCCGGATGGCACCTACAGCTTCACCAGCTTTGCCCGCCTCCCAGCTGCCCAACAGGGGGACCAAGGGGGCTCGTACAGCTGCCACGTGAGTCATGCGGGGCTGGGTCCGGCAGGGCTCCAGAAGACCCTGAAGCTGAAAGTGGCAGGTAGGCGCAGAGGAGGCTCCTGGCCGCATGTGGGGAACGGGGGGGAGGGGCACGCAGGGTGCGTGTGGAGGCGGAGGGCACGCACACACACCCCTTGGGAGAAGAACGGAAGGGAAAACAGAAACTGCTGGAAGGAATGGAGGAGGGGGGTGCCTCCACCCAAAACCAGGGGGGACCCAGGGGGAACAGTCACACAGCCTCTGGGGCCCATCACCCCCAATCTGGAGGGAGTAGAATACCAATTCTTGGGACCCACAAGTACGATAACGTTCTTGTCCCAGCTACCTCTTGGCACTGGAGGCAGGCTATGAATCTCGGGCAACACCCCCCCCCCAAATAAAATAAGGGTGTTACCATTGGTCTAAAGCATGCGTCCTCAAAATACGGCCCACGGGTCACATGCAGCTCGCCAAAGCCATTAATCCGGCCTGTGCAGGACAACGAGGCTGCCTCCCCCCCCACATTGCCCTGCCCATCCTTCGGCCAAGCACAGGACTTAAACTTCCGTGAGCCCTGCCCTTGCAGAGACCTTTTGGAGGTGGGAGGGGTGAAAAGCGGGGTGCACAGACGCCCCACGAAGCCAGAAAATGGGTGAAAATGGCCCATTTTTTTCACCTTTCCTGCCTCTGGAAGATAAAGACAGATGGATAGAGAAGGAGGGAGAGAGGGAGAGATATTTCTCAAGCTCCTTGGGGCTGAGAAGAATTGCTGCAAAATTGAGTTTCCTGGAGTGGACCCCCAGACTCCAAAACAACTGGAAACATGCAAAGAAAAGACACCCCCCCCCCCCAGGAGCAAAACAAATGAAAGTTTAATTTGTAGGCATTGTTCAATCGACTGTTTAATTGGCCACGCCCACCTAATCACATGACCACCTGGCCACGCCCACCCAGCTGGTCTGACCCCCTTCCCAGCAGTCTGAAAGACCGTGAATTGGCCCCCTGTTTAAAAAGTTTTGGGGACACACACACACACCGGTCCAGAGCCTGCAGGACACACCAAAAGTGGCCTTTGAGTGGGGTGGGGGCGTCTTCATTGTGGGGAGTGGTCAGTTCCCGCAGGCCCAGCCCTGGAAGTACAATGGGGCTTAGGGTGTGGTCAGCCTAGGTGTGAAAGGAAGCCCCTTTGTGCCCACAGTTCCTCCACCACCACCCCCCCCGCTTGGGCATGGCCCACCTGTAGAGCAGCGGCCTTTAAGGGAACCTCTGGGCTGGCTGAAAGGGGGGGCCCCTTTGTGGGGGAAGCATTGGTGGAAGGGGTGCCTAGGGAGCCCCCTAGAGGGCTGGGGGGGGGACAAGACTTGATGTCTGTTTCCAGGACTCCCCACCTGCCTTCCTTTCCAGGCTCCTCGGCCCCCTCCGTGGAGGACGTGATCGGCCTCTTCCTGGTGACCTTTGCCCTCCTGGGCTTCCTGCAGGTGCTTTCCCGGAGAGGTGAGTGGGTGACTGCCTCCCGCCACCCCGGCCCCTTGCAAAAGCAGCCCCACGTGGCCCCTGACCCACCGGCTTTCTCTCCGGCAGTCTTTGGGGAGGCGGCGACGACGGAGCCGAGCAGCCAGAATCCTCCTCCGCCTGAAGCCTTGCGGCCGGCTGCTTCTGCCCCCAAGGAGGGCCAGGGGGACGGCAAGCGGCAGCCCTCTGCACGGGGGTCCTCGTCGCCAGGCCCCACTCCGAAGTGACAGTCCTCCTGCGTGGCAGAGCCTCACTTTGGATCCTGAAGGAAGGGGCTGCGCGAGTGTTGGGGGCGCTCGGGGAGCTCCCCCCCCCATGAATCTTAGTTGGCAATTTGGGGAGGGGGTGCTGAACCTGCTTAGGGTGTCTGTCTGTCCTTCCCACGTGCAAGAAGCAGGGATCCCTGCTCCTTCTCTGCCCCGCCCCTTTGGCGAGGCCTCCCTACCTGTCTCTGGTGCCCCTCGGATGCCTGGGCGCCTCTCCTCGCTTTTTCCCCCTCCCCCCCCCCCCCGAGCAAAGTCCTGGGCAGACCCTCCCCCACAGGCTGCATTGGGAGGGGAGCTGTTAGCAGCCAGCCTGGCTTACTCTGGGGCCCCCAGGTGGGTGGGAGGCCTTAAAAAAGCCGGCCGAGGGGCCCCATGTGTGGTCCCCACCACTCAGTGTGACTTGTTTTGCTTCCCGTGCTGAAGAGGCTCCCTTAGTTGGGGTGGGGGTGGGGTTCTTCTGCTTCCCCCCCCCCCCCCCCCCAACTGCAGGATGGAAGGGAAGCCCTTGGCCGGGTGAGGGGGATTCCCACCATCAAAGCCTCCGGCTCCCTGATCGGTCCCAGGAAGAGGTTCTGGAAGGGAGCAGAGGGGCCACCCTGGTTCCAGGCTGCCGGGAGCAGAGACCCGGCCCAGAAGAGACCGAAGCCCCTCGGCAGCGGCAGCAGCGTCTCCACTCCTGGAAGACCAGGCGGCCCCAGCAACGGAGGACTTTCCCTGTGGTGCTGCCACCCGCAGATCTCCCCCTCCCCACCCCCCAGTGGGACTCCTGGCTGCTGCCCTCCCCTGCTTAACCCCCCCCCTCCAACACACACACACACACACACACACACCCCTGGGCCTGTCTGGGGTTTGCCTGCTGTAGATGGTCCTCTGTTTTCCGTGCTCTGTAGCTGCTTATAAAGATTCCCTTTTCTACTCTCGTCTGACTGGAGGTCTTTGGGGAGCGAGAAGGAAACTGCGGGAGGGGGGGGGGCTTCTTGCAGGAGAAGGGGAAGGGTCCTCCCTCCACCTCCCCACCCTCAGATTGAGCCTTGGGGTCCCGTCCTTGGCAGGCAGCTGGTGGCCCTTGGAGCCTCTCGTGGCTTGAAGGGGAAGACGGCTGCTGACCTGAGGGCAAAGCTGTGAGCTCCATCGTGGCCGAGGATTTCCCCCCCCCCCCGTGGCAGCCAGGTCGCTGTGGCCCCTCCCTTCCTGACGCTCCTTGAGACGGGGGGGGGGGCTTCTCCCTCGCAGGGCTGCCCCCATCTTCACCTGCACCCGTCGGGAGCAGCTGCCGGTTGCTCTGTTTGGGGGGAGGGGAGGCCCCCGTTGTCTGAATCTCCAGGGTGGCCCATGCTGAGTCCTGCAGCAGCCCCTTGGAAGCCCCGTCTTGGCCTCTGGGTGGGGCGGTGCCCCCTCAGATGGAGCCTGCCTGCCCTCGTGGGGGGGGAGGGCGCCAGCCGGGGGCAGCCGTAGCCGGTGGGTTCCTGCAGCTGGGTCGGCTGCGTACCAGCAGTGGCTCTCGTAGAGGCCGATGGGCTGCCGGCTTCTGCCCTTCGCAGCAACCGTCGTAAACACAAGCCAGTTGCCAAGCATCTGAATTCTGATCCCCTGGCGGTGGGGATGCTGCAATGGCCATAACTCTGGAAAAGGGTCACAAGTCACTCTCTTCAGTGCCGCCGTAACTTTGAACTTCATTGTTTTCACCGCTCACCTCCCACGACGACTAAGAACAGAGGAGGGAGAGTTCCGATTGGGCAGCCGGGGCTCCTGCGGGCTCTGCGCCCTTGGCAGAAGGCGACCCTGACTGAGCATTCTGGGTATTGTAGGACGTGGACGGCGAGGGACAGAGGCCCCCCCCCCCCCGCCGGTGATATATTCCCTGCTCAGGGCAGGAAGCCTGACAAGGCCCCCAGGCAGAAGGCGCTGGGTTGAAAGCAGCTGCAGGCTGAGCCAGGGAGCCCTGGGGAAGAGGTCAGGCCACGGGGGATCACCTGTGTGTAACTGAGGCCGAAAAGGGTCCCGGTTAATGCCACTGCGGTCATTTGCCCTTTCGCACATGGAGGGGGGGAGTTCCAAAGTGGGGCTGGGCCAAAGGTATCCACACACACACCCAGCTGGCATTATTTCCCTGGGCCCCTCCCAGGGGTCTCCCAAGGCCTTTTCTGAGCCAAGAAGCCCCCACCCCCTGTGAGGATCCCGGGTAGCCTCCGGGTTAAGGGCCACGAACAATGACCCTACGGAGACCCCACCAGAGAGCTTTTATACACCCCAAAGCCCTGGCACAGCTGCTAAGGAGACCCTCGAAATAGAGGAAGGACAGTCACGGGAACGGCATGTGGTGCCTCGTCTGAATCGCTGCGTCACCATAAGGATGAACTCTCTGCGGGCACAGGAGCTGCTGCCCCCAGCTCAGCTCCACTGCACATGCAAGCCAGCTGATTTCCGGGTCTCTGACACACACGTGCAGGGGGCACATGCCCCCCCCCCCAGCCCGTTTTTTGCTCCCAGGAGGCTGCAGGGAGGCCTACTGTGTTTCTACAGTGAAGAAGATGCCTCATTACAGAAGGCGCCTCATCCTCTCTTGGGACCTTTCCCTCTTCCTGGTAGAAAGGCCTCTCCCTTTCCTGGCGGGGGTCACCAGTGACATTTGAGTAGCTTAGGCCAGTGTTTTTCAACCTTGGTAACTTGAAGATGTCCGGACTTCAACTCCCAGAATTCCCCAGCCAGCATTNGCCCTCCCGGGAGTCTCCCGCCCAGCAGCTGCTCTTGCAGATGAAGCAGGAGGAGGAGGAGGAGGAGGAGGAAGGGGGGGAGGCCAGCCCAGCCCCCTCTCCTCGGGGGCAGCAGGACCCGGGCCCCAGGGCCCCCAAGCGCAGCCAGTCGCTGGACAACGGGGAGCTCAACGGGGGGCAGCCACCCAGCAAGAGGAGCCGTGCTTGGGGGCAGCCCCCCATTTGCAACAGGTAGGGGGGGGAAGAGGGGCTGAGGGGGGGATGCCATGCCTCCCCCCCCCTCATATCTGACCCTGCCCCCCCCCTCTCTCTCTCCCTGCCAGCATCAGCAGCACCACCCCCTCCTCCGCCGCGGAGGGGGGCTGCATCAAGGTGCCCAGCTCTGGCTCCGAGGGGGAGGAGGAGGAGGAGGAGTGGCCGCCCCCCCAGAGCCCGGCCCCCATGGCCGACTCCACCCGCCCGGACTCCCCCGGATTCGGCCTGGTCTCCAGCAGCCAGGGCAGCCCCAGGACCCCGGCCCCACGGCGGCAGCAGCGGCCCAAGCAGCCGCCGGAGGACCTCCTCACCAGGGTGGGTGCTGGGGACAGGTGGGGGGGCTGCAGGTGGGGGAAGCGGGGCCGGAGCGCCCGGGAGGCTCCCCTGACGTCTCTCTCTCTCTCTCTCTCCCCCCTTCCAGACCAGCGTGGCCACCCAGTGCGACCCGGAGGAGATCATCGTCCTCTCCGACTCGGAGTAGCCGCGGACTTCGCGGGGGGAGGGAGGGGCAGGGCGGGGGGGGGATTCGGAATAAAAGGACTATTTTTCTGCACGGAGCCCGCCTGGCCTCTTCTTCCGAGGGGGGGAGGGGGCGGGGGGGGGCGTGGGAGGAGCGGGGGCTCCGCCTCCTCTTCCCGGGCGGGCGGGGCGGCGCGTGCGCGGAGGGCGCGCGGGGAGGCGGGCAGGCGGCGCGGACCCCCGTGGGCGGCATGGCGGCGGTGCAGGTGTCCTTCCCGGAGGCGACGCGGGCGCTGCTGGAGGCGCTGAACCGGCAGCGGGTGGAGGGCCAGCTGTGCGACCTGACCATCCGCGTGCAGGGCCGGGTCTTCCGGGCGCACCGGGCGGTGCTGGCCGCCTGCTCGCCCTACTTCCACGACCAGGTGCTGCTGAAGGACCTGAGCGCCGTGGAGCTGCCCAGCGTCATGGACCCGGCCGCCTTCGAGCTGGTGCTGGGCTCGGCCTACACGGGGCGGCTCCGCATGGCCCGCGACGACCTGGTCAACTTCCTGACGGTCGGCAGCGTCCTCCAGATGTGGCACATCGTCGACAAGTGCACGGAGCTGCTCAAGGAGCGCCAGCGCCGCCCCGACCCAGCCCAGGACGCCACCGCCGACGCCGACGCCTCCTCCTCCGCGGGGCCCGGCGGCGGCGGCGGCGGCGGCGGCGGGGAGAGCCAGTCGCCCAGCAGCAGCAGCTACTTCAGCCCCCGCCGCGACGGGCACGAGCAGCCCCGCGTTGTGGGAGGAGGAGGCGGCGGCGGCGGCGATCGGGACGGCGGGGGGCTCCGCCGGGCCGCCCCCCGGCGCCTCCGCCCGCCCGCCCCCTTCGCCCGCAAGAGCGCGCCCGAGCCGGACGACGAGGAGGGCGGCGGCGGGGAGCCCGGCAGCAGCGAGGCCCTCCGGCCGGCCTACCTACATCGGCCCAGCGTCGTCCCGCAGCGGCAGTGGGCGCCGGTGAAGGAGGAGCGGGGCGGGCGGGGCGGCCCGGAGGAGGAGGAGGAAGAGGAGGAGGAGGAGGAGGAGGAAGGGCTGGTGCTGACTTGCGAGGAAGACGAGGAGCCGGCCGAGCCTGCCGCCCTCAGCATCAGCGACGTCCGGACGCTAAGCGAGGCGCCCCTGCCGGAGGAGCAGGTCAACTTCTGCGAGTCCTCCCAGGACGTGGGCTTCCCCCCGGCGCCTCCCCCCCCTGCGCCTCGGGCCCTCCTGCCCCTGGACCTGCAGGGGAGCCCCCTGCTGCTCTTCCCGGCGGGGGCCGCGGGGACGTCCGGGCCGCCCCCGTCGTCGGTGGTGGAGCACGGGGCGGTGCAGCTGTCGGGGGCCTCCGGGGAGGGCAACAAGATCTTCCTGTGCCACTGCGGGAAGGCCTTCTCCCACAAGAGCATGCGCGACCGGCACGTCAACATGCACCTCAACCTCCGGCCCTTCGACTGCCCCGTCTGCAACAAGAAGTTCAAGATGAAGCACCACCTGACGGAGCACATGAAGACCCACACGGGGCTGAAGCCCTACCAGTGCCAGGTCTGCGCCAAGAAGTTCATGTGGAGGGACAGCTTCATGCGCCACAAGGGCCACTGCGAGAGGCGCCACCGCCTGGGCGGAGGAGGAGGAGGGGGAGCCCCCTCGGGAGGGCCTGCCCTGCCCACCAAGAAGGAGGCCTCGCCCTCCCGCCTCCCTGGCGAGGCCGAGTGGGCCGTGGGACTGTCCCCCCGCAGCGAACTGGGCTTTGCAGGCAGCAGCAGCAGCAAGATGTGACGAGCTCCCTGCGAGGAAGGCCCTCCTGGCCCCCCTTCCTTCCCCCCCTGGCCGACACTGCCGTGGGCTGCCCTTCCCTGGACGGGCCCTGCGGCTTCCCCTCCTCGGGGTCTGGCTCCTGCGAGGGAAACCCCCCCTTTGGCCTGCCTTCCCATCCTGCAATGGGCCCAACCCTGGGACGGGGGGGGGGGTCTTGTTAGAGCCAGGTGCCAGCTGAATCGTCTTTGGGGGGAAGAGGGGGATGCTCAACGCCCCCCCTGGGCCATTTGCACAGGGGTGTGTGAGTGTCTCATTGTTGTAAAAGCCGCCTCCTCTCCCCCCTCTGTCTGTCTGTCTCGGGATGCGGACGTTTGGGGAAGAGCCCCTCCTTTCCCCAGGAAGGGGTCCCGCGGGGGCCGGATGCCCAACTGTGTGTCCGGATGCCCAACTGTGTGTCCAGAGAAGTGGCCAGTCACTCTAGAAACACCCCCCCCCAAAAAAAGCTGGACTTTGCTCTGGTCCTGTGCCACTGCGGGAAGGCCTTCTCCCACAAGAGCATGCGCGACCGGCACGTCAACACGCACCTCAACCTCCGGCCCTTCGACTGCCTGGAAGACAAAGAGAACCCCCCCCTTCCCACACAGGTTTCAGAGGTGTCCCCCCCCCCTCTTCTTTCTGTTCGCGATGATAAACGTCCTTCAATTTGGTTTTGGCTTTTTCTAGATGAAAGTCACAAATTCTCTATAAATATTTATTGCTGTTTAAGTCCCCACCTGGCTTTGTTCTTCGCTGTCCTGGGGCTGAGGAGGGGGGGAGGGGGCTGGTGCCAGGTGAGCTTATAGGGAGGAAACGGGGGGGGGGGCTCTCCTTGGCCCACTGTTGCTGCCACCCCCCACCCACTCCAAGGACAATGTGCCTTAAATTGAAGCTGGGTCCAAGGAATTGGCTGGTTGCATCTTCCCTTTGGGGGCCTGAGCCTGCCCCCCCCCCATGCCCCCCTCCCTCTCTTCTTGGCTCTGGGCAACACAGAGCAGGAGAGGGGGAGTCCTTGTATTGGGGGGGTGTCCAGCCAGCCCTCGACAAGCGGCAGTTCAATTAACAAGCCCTTCGAAGTTATTAGGGCACTGGGAAAAGTGACGACCATTTTTCACACTTATGACCATCCCCATGGTTACATGGTCAAAATTCAGGCGCTGGGCAACTGACCCGTATTTATGACGGTTGCGTCCCCTTTTTTCTACCTTTTTCTGATCCGTGGGGAAGGAAGGATTCCTTTAACAGCTGGGGCCAGGAAGGGACGGGACCCACGGAGTCCTTCGGGATTGGGCGGCATGTAAATGTGGTTAATGAAATAAATAAATAACTCTCTCACTCAGCCACAGGCATTTGGGGCTCCGTTCTGGCCGTCAAGTCAGAGGCTCCCCAATGTATAGCATCCCCTGCCTTGAGCAGGGGGTTGGGCTAGATGACCCCCGAGGTCCCTTCCGGCCCTGGGACCCTGTGTGGCTCTTCTCCTCTGTAGGTCTTGCTCCCTCCAGTCCCTGCAGTGTCCTGGGGGCGGGAGGGGGGGGATCTCCAGGCGACCCCAGTTCTAATCCTGCCTCTTGAGCCTCTGGCCAGAGGGGAGGGCAGGAAGGGGCGGGGAGGATGGACGTGGAAGGGGTACCACCCCCACCCCAAGTGGCAAGTGGAGTTCGGCGTCTGGTTTGCCCTGCTGGGATCCACCCTTCGGAAGGTCCCTTTGGCCCCCATTTTATTTGGGGCTCTGCTGGACACTAGACGGGCTTGCTAGGTGGGGGCGACGGCCCCGTCACTAGCACAAATTTCCCTCCCCCCCCAAAAAAAGAGGGCCATTCCGGCCGATGCTCCCTTTGCTCCCCCTTCGCCCTCAGTGGGGTCTCCCTTTGGGGCCCACCTCGTCCTGGTGGGTGTGCTGAAGTCTTGGGGGGGGGGCGTGTAGCCGGTGTGAAGGTGTAAATGCAGACACGGAGCCAACGATGCTATTTTATTTGTGGGTCTAACACCCCTGGAAACTTACACACACACACACACACCCCAACACAAGCTGCCTTGCACGGAAGCGAATTCCCATCGCCCACCCGCAGTTTGCCACCTTCCAGAGCGCTTGGTTGACTTCCTAATAGTTCTCGGGATCTCCTGGTGGTCCCCCATCCCGCGACGAGCCTTGTCTTGGGGGCAGCTGCAGTGCCACCTAGTGGTGAGTGGGCAGAAGCCCCCCCCCCCTCCCGTCTCCTTCCAGGGCTCCGTGGAAGCTCCATCGGGCCAGCTGGCCCCAAACAGCAGCAGGGAATTGGGGCTGGGGGCTGTTGACAAAGGCCACGCCCCCCTCCCCACCGCTTCCCTCCGGAAAGGAGGCTGCCGGGCGTTGTCCGCCTCCCACGGCCGGGGTCGCCGTTGCCTCGCCTGGAACGAGCGCGTCCAGGGGGGGAGGCGGCCTCGGGCGCCTCCCCTTCCTCCTCCGCCGAAAGTGAAAGCGGCCCGAGCTTAACGCACCGCGCCGCGTCTCTCTGCAGCTTCCGCTCTTCGACCGCCCGTCCGAGATGCCCGACGCCTCCTTCGCGGCCGCCCGCCGCCAGCGGAGCCCCCTCCGCTTCCCTCTCCTGCTGCTGCTGCTGCTGCTGCTGCTGCTGCTGGGTGAGCGCGGGCGGGGGTCCCGGGCCTGGCGGGAAGCGGGGATCCTGCGCCACCCAGGGGACGCCCACCCCGGCGACCGCCCGGAGCGCCCCGGAGGAATCTCTCAAGGGCCCGGAGCCCCGGCGACCCCAGTTGGCGACCCCCGTTGGACAGCGAGACTCCGGGCCGGGGATTCCCGCTCGGGCGGGGCCGCTTCTGCTTTCGCTTTCGGGGAGAGGGGGGGGCGGGCCCGTCCCGCTCAGCCCCGCCCCGCTCAGCGACTTCTTCTGCCCCGCAGGTGCGTCCCTGGGCGCCTCCTCGCCGCCGTCCGCGGCCAAGCTGGGCTGCTGGTTCGTGGAGGAGGCGCGTGGGGGGCGCGGGGCCGGCTCGGTGATGCCCAGCGACCTGAGCCAGCGCCGCGCTCTGCTCGTCCTGCCGCCGCCCGGCCAGCGCCTCTCCGAAGCCGCCCTGGAGCCCGAGCTGCCCGCCGAGGTGGAGCCCGGCCTGGCCTTCCAGCTGCTGGGTAAGGAGGGGGCGGCGGGGTTGGGGAGGGGGCGGCGGCGGGCCTCTTCCGCGGGCAGGGCAGCTGAAGCCTCCCCGTCTGTCTCCCTCCGTCCTTCCGCACAGACCCCGCCGGGACCCTCTGGAGCGGCAAGGAGGCTGGCGCCCACCCCCGCTGGGCGGCCTCAGCTCTGCCCGGCCCCGGAGAGCCGGAGGTGGCCTGCGAGATCAACCCCTACCACCCGCGGGAGGCGCACGTGCCCTGGGCGGTGGGCCTGGTGGGGCAGAAGGGCTGCCCGCGCTCCCTGGAGGGCCGCTGGGTCATCGCCACCGTCCAGAACCCCCAGGTGGACTTCGGGGTCAGCAGCATTCTGCACCAGGAGGGGCCGTTGCCCGGGAAACCGGAGGCCAGCAGGGTCACCATGGCAACAGGTATGCCTCAAATGGGGGTGGGGGGTGGTATTGATTGACAGTCCTGGGTTGACTTGTAGGGTTCCTTCTTTTAAGCAGTGGACCCAATATAACCACCCCCACCATCCCCCACGGGTGTTGCGGTCCAACATATCCCATGGATTGTGGTTGGAGGGAGAGATGTCAGCAAGGGGAGGTATCTGGAGATCAAGAGAGCTCCTGTCCCAGGCTTTTCCTCAAAGCAACCTTTCACCTTCAGTTTCATTGCTGAGAATATGCTAAGGAAAACTTCCTCCCTCCTTTCCTCCCTCCTTCCCTTCTTTCCCCCCCTCCCTCCCTCCCACCCAGCAGGAAGTGCGCTTTATTTAAGAGTGCAGATTGAAGGCATCAAGGCAACAACACAGGCCAAGAAAGAGTAGGCGGTTTGGTCCAGCGGTTAAGGCACCAGGCTAGAAAGCAGGAGGTCCTGTGTTCGAGTCCCACCTGGGCCATGAGAGTCAGCGGGGTGACCTTGGGCAGCCATACTCTCTTCAGCCCAACCACCACTTTACAAGTAGTCCTTGACTTACAGTGACCCCTTGTGCTTGGTAGCCGACTCATAGTTACGACGGTAGCAGTGTCCCGGGGTCACCTGATCCCCTTTTGCGGCCTTCTGACCAGGAAAGTCACTGAACAACCATCTCACTAACTGAGCTTCAGGGATTCACTTAACAACTGGGACAAGAAAGGTCGTAAAATGGGGCAAAAATCACTTAACACGTGTCTCGCTTAGCAACAGAAATGTTGGGCTCAGTTGTGGCCGTAAGTCAAGGGCTCCTTGTATTCGTCAAAACAAGAAAGGCAAATAAGCAAAGGCTTAAAACTAGCAAGGGGGGGGGGATTTTAAAGGCTTAGAGCAGCCGTCCTTCCTCAGGTGGTCATGTGACCCCCCCCCCCAGTAAAAATAAAAATTATATCCGTTGCTGCTTCATAACTGCGATTTTCCTCCTGTTATGAATCGTAACGTAAACACCTGATACGCAGAATAATGTTTTCATTATTGCAAATTGAGCATAATTAAAGCACAGGGATTAACCTGCCAATCTTGGTTGGGGAGAAGATCAGACAGGCTGGGATTTTCCAGGATAAACCGACCTCCCTGCCTTCCTCCAGCAGCAGCTCCTGCTTTACATGAGTTCCACTTTATTAAGTTTAGTTTTTTTACGTTCCGTTCCCCCCACCCATTTTTTTTCTTTTTCTTTTTCCTTCCTTCCATTCCTCCCTTTTCTTTCTTTCTTTCCATTCCTCCCTCCCTTTTCTTTTCTTTCTTTCCATTCCTTCCTTTTCTTTCTTTCCTTCTTTCCATTCCTCCCTCCATTTTCTTCTTTCTTTCTTTCTTTCTTTCTTTCTAGTCCTCCCTCCTTTTTTTTCTTTTTCATTCCTCCCTCTCTTTTCTTTCTTTCTTTCCTTCTTTCCATTCCTCCCTCCATTTTCTTCTTTCTTTCTTTCTTTCTTTCTTTCT